AGATTTGGATCCGTAAAAATAATTAAAAAATTAAAAAATAAAAAATTCTAAAAATAATACATAAACTAAATATTTAAACATAATTTATGAATATATATATATGAAATATACTATTATTAATATAAAAGTAGAATATTATTAAACTTATTTTATGTATAAATTTTAATATATCAGATATAATTAATAATAAAATAAAAAGTGTAATATTTTTTTAAAAAATACAGATCTAAATCTGGTTATCCATCTAAAAATTAAGATATTCGGATTTGATTTGCATAGATCCGGGATTTTACTATCCGGATTTGGATCTGGATATCTCTAGATATCCTAATTTCGGAACAGAGTCGGAGCAGATCTCGGATCAAATCCAGATCCCTAATAAAAATCCTAGCCCTACTACGTAACATGTCCCATATGATGGTATTATCAATAATTTGCATTTAAATACTGTGAAGGAAATTGGTCAGACAGACATGATATCCTTGTGGACAGGATTTGCTGCATGCTTTTAGTTAAAATACTCAAATAAATTAGCAATACATAAAATTTATAATAATAAGAATATTTTATTCGTTCATATAAACGCAAATTTACCTCTTTGATTTGTAGAATCCTTGACGAATCTGTTTATATTGCTGACAATTTTTTTTTGTTAAGTGTCATACTGCACGTATTTAGAAATGTAGTTATATTATTAAAACTAAAGTACAAATGTGAATTATTTGGAAACATAGATATTAATAAAAAATATATTATTTTATCTGAAAACATAAATAGTAATATTTTTATTTTATTAATGTTATTTTAATAATTGCATTAACATGGATCTTATTGTTCTGCTTTCATTAATAAATATGTTAATTTATTATATGATTAAGTGTATTTAATATAATGTATTATTGTAAAATTCGAGATAAATATATATTTAATTGATTAGAAAAACATCATGAACCTATTTTATATAATATAGTTTTTCATTTAAATGATTATTTCATATCATATAAATTACAAAATAAATGATTATTTCATATCATATAAATTACAAAATAAATGATTATTTAATATCATATAAATAAAAAATAAATGATTATAACTTATAATTATTTAAAAACCAAATAAATATATAAACATGTGAGGCTTCAACAAGAGAAATAATATTTCTTATTATCAATATATTTCTAATTAAATGATTATAACTTCTTATAACAAAAAAAACTTCACGAAAATTGATACAATCAAATATACTAAAATGTGAATAACCTACATTCTTAATATGAACAATCAAATCAACCAATATTTATGATTTAGTGTGTATGAATGTTCAATGTATTATATGTTATGTTTAATGATGGAACTTTGAATTAATATTTGTGTTTCTTATTTTTCTAAAACAATATATACCAAATTATAAAATTATAAGAGGATTTAACTGAAATACATGAAATTTAAGAAAATAATAATCCAATTTAACATGATAAAAAATGTTATTTAATTTAAAATAATTGATGTAATTCGTTTTTTTTACAACATCGTAATAGAACTATGAGCTATGCATTGTGGGTTCAGCAAACCAAACCAGATGCATAGAATCAACATAAAACATAGCATAAAGGGAACACTTAGCACCTCGTGCCACCTTGTCCACCACTAGATTATTCGTCCTCGAAATATGTTTGATTTTGAAAGTAAGGAAGAAAGTTTTACGGCAGCAAAATTCCTCCAAGTGTGTAGCAAAAGCTGGTCATTCTTCGGGTGATGACACAATCTTCACTAATTGAGAACAGTCGGTTGCAAAAATTACGTCTGAGAAATTGAGGGTCTTTATACACTCCATGATCCATATCAAAGCTTCACATTCTGCATGTAAAGCGGATAAACTTCTCCGGAGATTCATTACCATATCATCTTCTCGTTTGTTCCATTCATTCTACATAATCATGTCCTGAGAACTTATCTTGCTCCCTCCAGACCCCGTCCACAAAACAGACTCTAGATTGTTCCACCAAAAGCCAATCTGCAGATACTACAGTGGTATGTGTCTGTTCTGGAATTGTAAGTTACGCTTTTGCCCAAACTTCACTTACCACTTCTGCGATATGAAGAATCTCCTAAAGGCTTCCATTTTTATTTGAGTAAATTTTATTATTTTTATTCTTCCAAATATACCATAAGATCCAAAGAAAAGAGCTAAAGTCCTTATCTTTTGGCAATCTCCAAAACATGTAATCTATATTAGTGAAAAACGATGGCATCGGGAAAATATCAATGGAGAAGCTATCTTTGATAAATCTCAAGTCTGGAGATCTGGAGAGCATTCAAATAGTACATGATTAATCATTTCTTCCTCAACTCCACAAATGCTACACCGCATATCACAATAATTTATATAATTAAGCATAGCAAAAATAAATATTTGAATTAATAAAAATAATATATATGCAATCACATATCTTATTAAAATGGGAACATAATGATACATAATATATGTTATTATACACATAAATTACAAAATAACTTAAAACTTATAAACAAACGAAAATATTTGTCCACTATTATAATTCAATTATTAGGTAAATGTTTATTCTTGTGTATGAGCATACACAAGAGAATCCCCTGATCTATACTATTATTTGCGAAGTGATTTTTCGCAACAGAGCTCTCGCGTTAAAAATTGAAGTGGTTAATATCGTTTATACCCTTAATGAATAAAATATATAAATCAGTTAAAAATAAAAAACGAATTTAATACTTATTTGATTAGATCAATGATTTAAACTAATAATAATGATAAGAATTATCCATAATCTAAATATATATTTAAAAATAAAAAGATAACTCATATATTTATTGTGTTGTTATCTAGAAAATATATTTTTAATAAAAAAATTCAAAAACAGAAAACACATAAATAAATATTCATAAAGTAAAATTTTTAATTGTTTATAATTTAAAAAAGAAGATTGAAAAATTATAATACATAATTATTTTCAAATTAAAATAAAAAATCATTCAAAAATAAAGAAAATACGTGTTTGACAAAAATAAATTCAAATATATTGTATTATTATCAAAACTAATATTATTCTCTCTGTAAGATCAATTTTTGAATGTATATTTATAGATTTAATTTTTCAAATTGAAAATAGATTTATATATTTTTTTATCAATTCATATATTTTCAAATTAAGGAATATCACTATTTAAAGGAAAAAATAGATTTTTTTAATTTATGAATAACTTTATCATTTAAAAAAGTTTAATTTTTTTGATCAAATTTTTTGGATGCAAATAATCATTTATTTGATGAATTTTTAAATTCATTTAAAGATAACTAAGTCCGCATATGCGGGCAAAACACCTAGTAAATCAATAATTAGAAAATTTATTTAATACAAGGGAAAAAGCTTGCAGTATACTAAAAATAAAGAACGGCAAGAAGATGACATTCCTTTTAAACACTTGCACTTCTTTATTCTAATTAGGCCCTGTTCGTTTGTACATCTGAAAGATGCATCCAGATGATCCATCCAGATGCCTTATCCAGATGGAGCATCTGGATGTTGTTCGTTTCTCTATTTCGTCTATACATCTAGATGAATCATCTGAATGTAACTATGTTCGTTTGTTTGTTTTTAACTTGCATCTGCATACAAATGAATTTGTTAATAAAATGAATA